TTATAAAAGTTGATATATATTGAAGGTTGGAGAATATTCTAAGAGTTTTGTGTACTCTAACGTAATTGTCACCCTAGTTTTGTAAGTATGAAACATTTTCCTTCTTTTTAATTTAAAGAAATTATAGCAAAAAGAGGATGGATGCTCTTGAAACCTAGGCATTGTGGCCCTTGAGTCAGTACTCTTAACCTCTAACTATGCGCTTTTGATAAATACTGTTCAATTGATTTTTTAAAGGGCATTATACCTTTAAAGTAACAAAATTCTTCATATCTAAATGTAGCTTCTTAAAACTCCACAAGCTGACTTACTGCCATGTACTGTACACAATTAAAGGTGGTGTTTCAATTTGACACTAACTTCAGTGATAAATATTTCTGCTTTGTGGTATGCGTGACACATTTTTTAATCCTTAATGAAATGCAAGACTTTAGATTAATACAATAACATATCTCTGCACAATAGAACAGGAGAAGTTGAAAAGCGGGAAAATTACCCTAAAAGTGTGTTTTGGCACTGCATTGACCCATTTTAATAAGGGAACAAAATAGACATTATATCACATGCTTTTATTTGATATAATCTTTTAAGCTTGGTGATGATTAACAATTCAAATAAACCAGTACAACAAATTTTAAGAAAGAAAAGATAACGAAACATCTAATTCTCCTTTCTACCAAAAGAAATACATTTTTTATTTATAACTACAAAGTAGCATGCTAAGTTTCACCAAAGATTTAAGATTCAAGGTTGTCAACAGCAATTAATTCACATGACAACCATAAACTGCACAAATAAAAATCTTCATTAAAAGAACATTAGAAGCCAGACTGAAAGAGAAAGAAATTTGAGAGTTAAATATCTTGGTAGATAACAAATTCAACTTTAAGAGCCATCTGGTGTCTTGTCATGCTTCATATTCACTGTCCTCTACCAACATTACCATGGTTTTTGGTCCCCTAATTAAGTACAACAAATGTGAAATGGTAGGGCAGAGCCATGCAACTGTTTACATTTTGGTTTCTGACAAGATATTTGCCTATTGACAATTAAATTTGAGTGATTTTGTGCCAACGTGAACTAATATGTTCGCTTTATAGCTTTCTTTGTTATTTAGCATATATTAACTTCATAATGTCTATTTCAGCTAACAAAATGGATAGATGTCATTATTTCTTTACAGAGGGAAAACTGCGATATAAAAGTATGAATTTACTGAACCATAGATCCAGTTCTGTAAAGAATAGAATTTAGAGTTGAGGAAGTTGAAGTAAAATCCTTTCTCTCCTACAGAGTATCTATTAGACCTTGAGACAGCAAACATCAGATATGTTTTTTATATTTCCTCAATTATAAAATGACAATAAAGTATAAAATGAGAGTAAGATATATTAAAGTGTTGAGTCAAGTATTGCATTTTTCCTACTAAACTTCAAAAATGTAACATTTTAAAAACCTTAAAGCAGACTTATCATCTCCCTCATCCCTTATTTTCACCCTCCTTTTTTTTTGGATGATATGTAATTCAACAAATTATATGTTGGACAGGCAAGTGAAAGCTTAGAAAGATGTTCTATAAGACTCTCTTCTCAGATGGTTAAAATTATCTATCAATTATACCCTCAAGTAGACTGGGAATCTCCCCTTTACACCCTCATTGCCTCTGTGCCACGTAAGCCTGTCACCAGTATTTCACTTATGAATTACTGCAAAAATCTCTTAACAGTTCTGTTACATCCATAGTCTCCATCTGCCATGTTGCTAACTGGGTTATCAGAGTCAAAAATATGACATCAGCTTTTCTTTTAAAAATCCTCTACATTCTTTTCAATTTAAAAAAAATAGTTAAAATGTCTTAACATAATATACTGATCAGGATTCTCTAGTATTATTTCCTCTTCTTCCAAAGGCTTCCATAATTTGACCAAAGACATCTACTTGGCTATCTTGTGAGCTGTCACGTCTCCTCATATTTCATGTCACTGCATATTCATTTGCTACTGACTGAGTAAAACAGACTCATTCTTGAAAAATCACACTTCTACTTCAATCTCCAACCCAGCAGTGCATGTGCAAAACACACACAAATGGAAAACTTACCCTAAGTATTAAATACGTAAACGGGAAAGTGGCTGATTGAAGGACCCCCACACAATATATTCAGTTCTTTCTTCTTTGCTTATCCATCTCTGTGAAGTGTTAATTTGAAGGCTGACCTTCTGAAAGGAATGATCTACTGCTGGTTTTCACACTAAAGTAATGTTTATACTTATCGCTAAAATATTCTCAGAGGACTTTTTATTGATTGAATTGCCTAGGAGGTAGAAAGTTCTTAGAAGTGCTGAATGCCCCTTTTGGTGCTGCTAGTCTTATAACCCTCATTAGTGGCTTCTCTATTGTTTTGTATCTACACTATCATCAGTGTATTTAGGCAGAGTGGTAAATATTAGCTGCCACCATACTTGGTTGGAAATAAATTTATATTGAATGTGTTTATGGTGAAAGAGAAACTGGAAAATGTGAGCCCCGCCTTGGAGCCAAAATGCCACTTAACTGATAGTTTTGATTTATTCTGTGGTCCACATGTAAATAACCTTATAAGTTTGTGGTATATAGTCTTGATTTTACTTGTGGATATTTGGTGAAATTTTACTACAGTGTTTTAGTACAGAGAAAGAATGCTACAGATTTTTCACACTTTAACTTTGTTTGGGTAACATGTTATGTGAGTAACCATCAGCTTTGAAAACGCATCAGCTGTTTGCATGATGTTCCCTTAAAGTTGGTCAGCTTTAAGCTTAAAAGATCATTTTTCTTCCAAAGGGTGGTTAGCCATGTGCCCTGGTTTGCTCACATCAGCCCTGCATCACATCTGTTGTCCTAGCATCCTGACTGCTTACTGCCTTCTTCATGTCTCAAAAGACATCCAGTCTGGACACTAAATTCTGTATTCACTCTGCCTATAGTGGAACCAAGCAGAGATCAAAACTACTCTGAACAATGCATGGAAAGGGAAAGCTGAGCCAAAGACAATTTTCTAGATTACAGGAGGGACACAGTCTGGGAGTCAAAGGAACAAGTGTTTAAGATCTAAAGATTGGGGCAAGAGTTAGATAAAGGAAGGAGCTTTTGCCACTCTTATTTGCTAAATTCCCAAGCCTGAGGCTGGAAAGAGGGAGAGTAATCTCAAGAATAAAAGAAAAGTCAATATATCCACACTGTGATAAGTGGAGAGAGTTTTGTAAGAAATTAGACTAGAAATTTAGCAGAGTTCTGAGCAACAAATCTTGGAGGCCATGTCAAAGTTTCTCAAATTCATTTGATGATTAACCTAAAGAAAAATTAAATAGGAATGAAATTATACCTCTTTCTTATTTTAAAAAACAGTATTCTGATATATATATATATATATATATATATATATATATTTTTATATGTGGATAATGGATTAATGTTAGGTCTAAGAACAAGTAGAGGATCATGGAAATCTCTTACCGAGAGGAAATGATAAGCATTGTTAGAGATTGTGGAAATTTAGCCATAAGGGCAGTAGTGGGGAAAGCAAAATGTCATTTACCTGTTTTTATTTTTTCAGTTATTTTAAAGAATTAACAGGACTAGAATGTGAGGGTTTTGTTGTTGTTTTACTGATTACTTCTACTCTTATCAAGGAAACAGACATCTAGAAATCATCTGTACAGGCAGCTGAGAATTTACGTTAATTCTTTCATTGCTTCTTACTCAGTTCAACCCTTAGTGTTTGAAAGGGCACCATCAGGGAGGTGATGTGTCCTAGATGAGCAAATGGGCACTGGGAATGAGAGGCTTCAGTTTCAGCAGAGACCATTTGGAGGAGCCAGAAGAGCCACTGACAGCCATTCCACCTGTGTCTAAGCACCCTCCCCGCTTCTAAATCTGATTAGACAGTCCATCTAGAAGGAGAGTGTGAAGCAATTTTGCTGCACTGACAATTTAACACTCAAGTGAACTCAGATGAATTTACAGCAGGACCTATCTCTGTTTACAAATTAGTATATGAGTGGTATCAACTTTGCAAGTATTTGGATCTTAACTGTTCTGAAGATGCGATAGAACTAAGTCATAAAGAAATACCTTTATAACTTGAGGAAGTAGAATGCCAGCATTCATGATATACAATGACAGTTGAAACATTGCACGTCATAGTCTTGCATATGCAAACAAGCAGAGTTCTGGAGGAAATTATACTTCATATTTTTGATTTTTGGCTCCTGTGAAAACCAATCAAAGTCCTATGGGGAAGAAAGTGCCATCCAAAAGTTAGGTCTTCTGCTCCTTCTCATCCAGCATGCCACTCTTTTGCCTCTAATTAGGATTAAATAATGTATTGATTCAAGCCAGTTTGTTTCAGTACAATCTTTGGTGTTTATGTATTCCACGGAACCAAGACTTTACCAGTTTTCATCTCAGTAATATTTGTGAGGTATTATAAATAACAGTTCTCTCAGATTTTAATCCAGTTCAATGAAAAAAAAAATGTATGTACAGAATTCACAGCCCAGCTAATGAAACATTTGTAAAAAGTGCATCTGATATACCTGATAGTAATAATTTCTATGTGGTGCTATTTTAATTTTATTTAGTAGAAAGGGACTTATTGACAACATCTAACTCTTAAAGTTTCTGGTATAGACATTAATTCACATGGTTCTCATTAGACACAGTGAGAGGAATACACTAGATTTTACACCCATGACCAGGATAATGTGCCCTGTAATTTCTGTTTTTGCTCTCAGACATGAAACTCATTAGTTTTTGAGGTTTCAGTGCACATGCAATGAACAGAAAAGCATTTAATTATTATAACCAAGGAGGTAATTTTCATTTTATGGAAAAAAGAAAGTAAATGAGATCAGGAAAAGTTTCTTTAAAGTTGCCCTGCAATTGTGCTGAGTATAATAATGTGTCATTCTCTATATTGTTTACTGAATACCAATAAATGATTTATTTTATTTTAACAGGCAATTTGCTGCCAGAGTGTGCTTCCTTTTAAAAGGTAAGTGCCTTTCAAGAAATATTATATAAAATTATCATATTTTCTTATTTCTAGCCTTGAAGAGCTTATTAATTTCTAAGCCCCCTGGCTGACACCTGTGTAGTTCAAAGACAAGGGTGTGTAGTATTAATTATTTTAAGCTCCAGTTATTGTTTGTGGTGTTCACATTGTGTATAAAAGACAGACTGGCACATTTTTCTATTTTAGTAAGAATAATGAATTAACTTGATGGTTTTAAAAAGAAATACCGTGAAGAGTTTAAACAGTAGTGGCAATAGTTCTTTTCTAAATGTCTTGTAGAATTCAGCAGTGAAGCCATCAGGACTAGGGTTTTTCTTTGTTCATAAGTTTTTAATTATGTTTTCAGTTTTGTTGATTGATATTGGATAGTTTAGAATTTTTAGGTCTTCTTCATTCAACTTTGGTAATTCATAAGTATCTAGGAATCTGTCCATTTCTTCTGTGTTTTCAATTTTATTGGGTATAGGTTCTCAAAGTAGGTATTGATGATCCTCTGGATTTCTGCTAGGTCAATTGTAATTTCACCCTTTTCGATCCTAATTGCATAGATTTGGGCCTTTCCTTTTTTTTTTTTTTTTTATAAAGTTGGATCAGGGTTTGTCAACTTTGTTTATTCTTTTGAAGATCCAGCTCCTTGCTTCATTGATTTTTTGTATTGTTCTCTTAGTCTCCATTGCATTGATTTCTGCTGTAATCTTTATAATTTCCCCCCCTTGTATGAGCTTTGGGTTTGTCTTGCTCTTCTTTTTCTAGAAGCTTGAGTTTCAGCATTAAGTTGTTTGAGCTCGCTCTGTTTTCCTAATATGAGTATTCACTGCTATGAATTTCTCTCATAAGACTGCTTTCGTTGTGTACCATAAATTCTGAAGAATGAGAAACTAGAGACATTTATAGCTAAATGGATACACATTGAGGCAATACTCTTAAGTGAAATAAATAGGACATACACGTGTAAATAGAGAAGTTTCTTTGATGTGAGAAACTGAAAGTGTAAATAAAGATCAAAATGTATATTAGATAATGTGGGATAGAAAGAAAAGGTTCAAAGGGAAAGTTGAAAGGGGAAAGGAAAGAAGGGAAAAAAATAAATATGAGAAAAGGAAAAAATGAAAACAAAGTCATTGTAAATAGGGAGGGGTGGAGGGGTTGAAGGGAGGGCAGGGGAATGGGGAAAAAATAAGAACCAAGATATATCATGTAAAGGTACAAATTCCCAATGACGAATGTCATCATATTGTATACCCAAAATTACCAACAAACTTAATGAATAATAAAAATATAAACACTTGTGGAAGTAATACACACACACACACACACACACACACACACAAAGTTCAGTTTAATCACATTTGTTTCAGTTTGGAATGTATTTAGATAATTTTTTACAGAAATTGCCAGAATTTTGGGTCATGGGCACAGTTTTGTCTTTTTTCTTTTGATGATTTTTCTTGATTATTTGTTTGACTAGAATTAGATAACAACTTGGTCAACTTGAAAGTTAAAAATGGTAATACCTTCAGGTTATTATTTAGTAGGAATATACGAATACATCTATAGTTTCAAAATTTAGTAACAGATTAGCATCAACCTTGAGCTAAATTTAAAGTTGATTCAATCTACTGTTTATAAATATAAAATAAATGACTAGAGTGTGTTTTATATTTTATTATATGGCAAGAAATGACCAAATCATAGGTTTATTTTTCAGTTTTCCTTTCTGTAAGCTATAAAAACATGAGGCAATGTTATATACTGTGTCCCTGGTGCAGTCTTTGCTTCTCTAAAATATTATCACAGATGTCTTCCAAAGATGCCCACTAACAGCTTCTATGCCAGACACCAATTTATGTTACTGCTCTTGGTTTGAAGTCTCACTTGTTATTTGTTGATGGAGTACCAGCACTTTCTACTTCTATGCCTGTGGCTCCTGCAGCGAGATGACTCTTTATCTTTAAGACCTCTGGACTCTGCTTCTGGTTGTAATAACAGAATTTATCTACATGTAATTACTTTATTAAGATCAGTAAATTCATAAATTGCAATGGTTTCCCCCAAGTAATCATTGTTATTTATATGGTTCTATTTTCATGAACAGGTAATGTTGGTCTATAACTTGGTGTAGATCAGTCTCTTATGCCATGTCATGTAGTTGGCAAAGAAAACCATTTTACTTTGTAATTTCAAAACACCATTGCTACTTTTTAAAAGCCATACAACCTTATGGAAAATCCCATAAAACTATTAATAACTGACCAAGAATTATTTTTAAAAACATTGTTTTCAAATTTTCTTGTGTCATACCTTTGTTAACTATGACTGATTTACAGAATCAGGTTTCAAACCAGGTTTTAAACCACACTGCACAAGAACAATATAGAAAAGTGAAAATTGTTACTATTTCTCAACTTCTTTCCCCCTAAGTACAAAACTTATAATGAATTTGTGATGAATTAGAATTCACCTATATTCAAAGCTCTAGGTCATATTTTCTTTTAGACTTTAGACAAATTAAACAACTTCTCTGAGGCATTTTCATCAGGTGTTAAACTTAACATAACAATAACTATTTTAAAAGATGCTTGTAAAGATGTTGAAAGTGATTTGGGGGTCCTGTTTTCTCTTATGAATAACTTTCTTGTTATGTCCACACATCATAAATTTATTGCTTCGTTTGATAAAACTTTGGAGTTTCATGATGAGCCCTTTTCTTTCCTTCCCTTCTCCTCTCTCCCCTCCCCTCCCTTCCCCTCCTCTTCCCTTTCTTAACTTTATCTTTCCTTTCTCCATGTAAATACTACCTTGAGTGTACTGGCCTAATAGGATGTTAAGACATTTTAAAAGTGAAGACATGGTATATTGTAAAACCCTATATCCCGATGCTACAACCTGCTGCTAGCATCATGTTCACCCCCAGCAAATTACCTACCGGCATTTGTGAACACAACCAACTCTCCTTTAGTAGCTATACATTTTAAGTATTTCTTTCCTTGTCATTCTTGTTGTGTTTCTACTGAGTCTTGGTCCTCTCCACATGGACTGAAGTTTAGAATCAGCTAGGAAAGCACCCATTTCTTATAGCCCTTTCTCTCAAACTTGGCTGAGAAATCAATGGTTAAATTATTAAACTTCCCCAATAGCCTTGCTAGCTAATATTTACATTTTAATGAGTTTTGTAATGACTTCACCTAAACACAAAGGAATATAATGATCTCTTTGGCACTGGGAATAATGTGAGCCCCAGGCTGTTCCAAGTATCCCTGTGGGCCAAAAAAATAGGGGTGTACTCCTTTCCCAGTCACTTCAGAACTTGTACTTAAAAAGACTTCACGTTCACATTCTTTCTCGACTCCACCTCTCTCCTGTTCACCTCTCTCTTCTTGGAGATTAAAAACTTTAGACATAAATTAGTATCCAGTCCTCCGAAAATGAGTGTTTAAAATATTACACGTTTGAATCTTCTCTATGCTATTTTCCAAACCTCTGAAAACTTTTAGTTTCCTTCAAAACTCTAAGGATATTTTAAAATTGTTTTACTTGTCACAAATTTTCTTATATCTTGGTCATCTATTTGTGCTAAAGTTGAATGAATTTTTGATTGGGAAACTTGATCAAAGTCAAAAACATGTGATTAATTCTGAAGCCTCTGATACTCAACCTAGTCCAAGAATGCCACCAGTGCTCCATGTGAAAGAAATTTATGTTATGTTATGTTATTTTCCCTCTAAAGATTTCTTCATATATTCAGAAATATGAGAGAGGAAAACCAACAAAATGTTGTGCATGTAGTAGTATATGCTGCAGCCTATTAGAAGCCAGACTCTCACTAGGCTCATTGCCATGATAAGCTCAACACTGACAGGGAGCTTGATTTCTTTTTAGCAAAAAGTTAAAAATGAAAATAGTTTACAAATGATGAGATATTTATTTTGTAAAATAATACTCTGCTGGAATAATGCAGTGTATCTGTGAAACTGATAAAGTTCCTGAAAAAAATAATAGGACATGCTACATGCCACATTTTGTTGAGCACAGATAACTAAATCTGGTGACAGAAAAAAAAAAGACACTGGATTCTCTCAAGAACATTTAAATTACCCATAGGTAATGGGGGAAAAAATAAGAACTAAGATACATCATGTTCAGGTACAAACACCCAATGATGAATGTAAATGTATTGTATACCTAAAATGTACCAATAAATATATAAATAAAAAATAAATAAATAAATAAGGGGGGAGAACATTTTAATTGACTTTCAGATATCGTTCTAAGTGCATTAATAATAAAGAATTTAAAATCACTGATACTTGTTGATTTTATCTTGAGGTTTTAGATTGATTTATTTTCTTATTACTAAAAAGTAACTAACTACTGGAGAGCAAGGCATGGTGGTGCACACCTGTAATCCCAGCACTCAGGAGGCTGAGGCAGGAGGATCACTGCCAGTTTGAGGCCAGCCTGGGCTACATAGTGAGTTCAAGGCCAGCCTCAACTACAAAGCAAGACCCTGTCTCAAAAACAACAATAAAATAACTATTGGATTCTAATGTTTCCTGAAAACGTATTCCTTTACTGTGTCCTATCATATGCACTACTGTAAATGCCTCATGGCTTACTTCACCCTTCTTGAATTCAAATCTAGTAATACCTACCATAAAGCAATTTAGTTCTCCAAAAATTAATGGATTTTTTTTATGTGCTTCTTCATTATTTTTAACAGTAATCCTGAGTTAATTTTAAAACTTTACATGGTGTTAGGGTGATTGTAAGAGTGAGATCATTCTTGGGGTAAAAGTCTATGCAATGAGTTCAGACGGGCTTGAAGTTTGGAAGTTAGCTTTGAGTCTCCATTAGGAGGATCACAACAGTGTGAGAAGCACTCAAATCTAAAATTAACATTTCAAGATAAATTTCATTTTTTCAACATGCAATTTTTTCCTAGAAGTCTTAAAAATCTAAAATCTGAAAAAGTCTTTTTA